GCTGCGGCCGCCGCCGCCGCGGCCGCTGTGTCCCGCCGGAGGAAGGCCGAGTATCCCCGCCGGCGGAGGAGCAGCCCGAGCGCCAGGCCTCCCGACGTCTCAGGGCAGCAGTCCCAGGCCGGGAAGCCCCCGTCTCCAGTTCAGGGAAAGAAGAGTCAGCGACTCCTGTGAGTATCGCAGTCTTTCAGGCGGTGGGAAAGACCCCCCTCTGTCTACACGCAGCCCTCTCGGCTCCCGTAGCGCCCACTCCACGTGACATGCTACCCGCTCTGCCCCCTGCCGGCTTCACACGCCAGATGTCACACCGTTTCCCCGTTAGCCTCTTATCACTCCTCTCTGCGCCCCCTTCCTTCCGCACCCCGTGTCCCCTATCTGTCGGGCCCCTTCCCCACTCCCGGAAATCAATCATCCTTTGTAGGATACGCCTCTTCTGCTCCCTGGGGACCCACCTCTTCCCTCCCTGCAGCCCGCAGGCTTATCCCTCACTCTGGCATCTGCACCCTCTTTGTCAGCCTTTCCCTTAGGCGGTTGTCCAGTGTTACATCACATCCCCATTAGGAAATAAGCACAATCCTAGCCTTCAAAAATGTGTCCACCGCTCTTCCAATTAATTAGCTACAGAGCTAGTCGTAGTAGTATGTTTATGTAGCTTTTTTCACTCTTCTAAATTTTCACATCACTTTTCATTCTTTTTAGAAATCTGGTACTTAAGGTTGGGGTAAAAACGTGGCTCTGCTAATTTTAAGTATAGAGTCTTTCATGTGACAAAATTAGATGAATATTTCTTAATTTTTTTTTTTTTTTTTTTTACTAAGTAGCATTTTTTCCTTTGTTTTTGCACATATATTAATCAAGGAACTTCATCCTTAAAGTTGGGCTCATTTGAAAGGAGTTTCTTTATTACTTAGAAGTAATAGAGGAACCATGAACAGGTGGCCAGGAGTATAAATATTTTATATTGTTTATTATAATGCTCATATGTTAAGAATACTGAAGCGCACAAGTTTGTAAATTCTACAAATTAATCACATTAAGTGTTGAATTTGTTATTGAAAACATCATTTGGGTCCTTTGACTTTCAAGTGAAAAAATTAGTAAAAGCAGGGAAAATTGAAGGTGAGGGGGAAAAATTTTTAAGTCTTTCCCTTCCCCCGGTAGAGATAGTGGCAAGGTTTGGCTTACACTAAAGCCGGTAGTAGATTTGAAGCTTCAAACAGACCTGTTCCAAAATTAAGAGTTAAGTCTGTGATTCGGCATGCTTACCTTTCCTCTGAGGGGGAAAAAAAAAAATACAGGTATTATATTGTGATATTAGATGGGCTTTCAAATTTTTGAATGTCATTTAAGTTAACATAATTTAGAGAATTTATCGTGTGAACTACAGTTCTTTGTGGACAACAAAAATCTCCACTTATAAATTGTTCAGCTGCAGCTCGAATTCTAATTGCTATAGATGCATTTCATGTTCATAAAATTTTAATTTATGTATTTAATTTTTTATAAATTTGAAAAGATATATGTCATTAACTTTATTTGGATATAAATTCTTGGGATAAATTTCATAACCTACGTGTGCCTCAGTTTCCTTATCTATAAGGGATTATCTGTGGGGGATACTCTATGACATGAATTTGTGAGAATTAAATGCAGTGCGTGAAGCACTTGACACAATGTGGAGTATATATAGTCAATACTGAGTAAAAGTTAGTTTTGAGCAGTGGTAACATGGGAGAGGTATAAGTGATTCGTGGTGATATTTTTTATGTAAATTTTGCAAAATAGGATATTTTTCATTTTTTTCTGTTACCACACATAGGAAGGTTAATATTTAAAATATTTAAAAATTTCCCTTCCATTCTCACCTGCCACTTGAGAGTTAAATATATGTGTCTTTCTTAAGATGTCATCTTAAGATAATTATATCTTGTTTCAACCTCAAAATTATCTCATGACTGTGTATTTAAAATTATACTATTTTGATCAGATTGTTAAAACAAATTTTCATCGTAGTAGTGTTTTTGATACACATTTTCAGTTTACTTCCTGGCCTGGAAATCAAAGGAGTTCAAAAGCATTCAGCTTGGCAAACCTTGTTTGAGCAGTAACTGGGCCCGGTACTGTACAGAGCTAGGTGTAGAACAATACATGAGACACAGCCCTGTTCTTCAAGAACCTTGCAGTTAAGAGGAAGATGAATTGATTAGTGGAGATTTGTTAAACGTGTTTGCATGGTTTACAAATTTTCAGTAGTAAAATTTGTCTTAAAATCAAGTTTTTCTACTTAATTTAATCTTTTAAGACATTTTAAGAGGTTTTGAGTTATCAGTTTACTGTACCCTAGTCTAGTGTCTTCTGACCTTGATTCATCTCTGTTTTGCAGATAATATTATGACAGTTTTAAAAAGGAAATGAGAAATTTAATCTCTATATTAATTGTTCCATTCTGGTTCATTTTCCAAATCCCAACTTCTCCCCCTATAAAATCCTAGTAATTAGCTGTTTAACATATGTTTTTTTCTCTTGATTAAAGAGAGCAGAGTGTACAATAGCTTAAAAGGTATTGTATTGATTGAAACCTCTGTTCCTATTAGAAGGCAAAATAGCATAGTGAAAAAGCGTTGGACTTTAGTCAGAAAATTTCAAGTCCCACCTTTGTACTACTCACTGAGTGACTTGGGCAAGTCACTTGATTTCTTTAGATCTGCTTCCTCTATAATCGACATTTTATGACTTGTGAAATGAGCTTTGTAGTTGGACGATAATAAGGTTATAGTTTTTACAAACTTTATTAAGTTTATAACACCCTTCTATTCATATTGAAATGTTCAGGAATTAATAGTAAGAGAAGGAAACATGTGTGAATGAAGAGGAATAAAAAATTTTTCAGTGAATGCTCAAGAGAAAGGCATAAAATTAATTGTTAGAATTAGTATAAATTGAAGACTACAAAGATAATAGTAAGGAAAGGTAAACCAAATTTGAAGAAAACTTATGTATCCATAGTATTTTAGAATTACGCTGATCATTTGCTATATGTTAGCCAATAAATTACACGGTTAAGATTGTCATATTTCAAGTGCAAATGTTTATATACTCTTGATTCATTTTTTAAATAAATATACAAGAAACAGGTGGTAGTATCAGTACAGTAGTTTTTGGATATAATTTGTTTCTAATTCATAATTTAAAACATTCATGCTTTCTGCAAATATGGAAATAATGAAATTATCAAAGTAAGACTATGTTAAAATGCAAAAAGGCTTGTTTTCATTCTACCCTATAATGTGTCTTCTCTATCCTGTGTATTTCAGAATCTAAAACTTCAATTACAAATAATTTTTTAAAACTTATAATTTAGCTATTAAGTAATCGTATCAGCTAAAACTTTAGGGTTTTTAAAGGTCTTCCTTCAGATTCAGATGACTTACAGATGAAGGAAAGTATTGCTCTATTTATTTTCTGATGTGTGGAATTCCATTTTTGGTATATTTTCTTGCTAAGCGTAAAATGGTAATAAATCATTAGGTGATGCTTTTTTTTTTGTTTGTTTTTTTGGCAGCTAGCTGGGATGGGGATATGATCCAGTGACCTTAGTTTTATAAGGCGGTGCTCTAACCAAGTAACTGGCCAGCCTAGGTGACATTTTCTTGCTATTTCCTTTTTGAGAGACATGAATAGTGAGGATGAAGAGGCAGCAGTATTCTGAATTGCAAAAACTTATAGCCCTTTGGAGAAAGCTTCAGTTGTACAAGACTGAAATCCCGAGTAATCAGGATCCTAAGTTAATCAATATAGCAGTAGAAACATTAAATCATTTCAAAAGGTTTTTGGGAAGTTTATTGTATAATTTTTCAAAAATTTAGCAATTATTTCTGTAGTTTTCATTTAAAGTTAGGATGATTAATAGTTATCTTGTGTTAACTGGGACATGGGTAATATAATTTAAAATACAGCTATGATACCAAACTTTTTAAAAAAATAGGGAACAAAAAATGATAGCTGTTCTTTCTAAAGAGAACAGATTTTGTGTTATAAAGTGGCTTCTGTATTTGCCTGGGTATTCTTTTGTAACATAAAAGGGTCTTCAGTTATATTGATGTATTTGGGGGGGGGGAAATACCTTCATACTATACATAAAGATATCATGTAGCATCTTTAGGATAAAGATCCAAAGCATGTTGACTTGAAATTTGGGTAAGGGGTGTAGGGGAGTTCTTTTTACTGTACTCACTAGTTACCTATAATAAAACTTTTGCCAAACTAAAACCATAAGAATATGGTGAGTGTTTTTTTTTTTTTTTTTTCTGTTGTTTGTAATTACCTATTGATGAAATTATAGTTGTACTCATATATATTTATGGAGTACAAAGTGATGTTATAGATTTTAAATATAATATGGAATGATTAAATTAAGCTAATTAAT